CTAGGCGTACAAAACCTCGAAATGCAGTTCGACCTCGCCTCCATAGAAGCCCTAGCCGAAGACGAAAACGCCCGAACCACCCGGGAAGTCCAACTCCTCGACAGAGGCGTCCTGACCATCAACGAAGTACGCCAATCCCACAACCTACCCCAAGTCCCCTTGGGCAACACCCACCCCAGCGCGCGCACGTAAGGCGGCTCGGCTGCTATGCTATCCTTGACCATTGAGACGGAGGCGCGAGATGGAAGAGCAGGAATCCAGTTTGGGCAGAATTCAAGTGAAATACCGCTCGCGGGAAGAAGCGATGGCGGAATACGCCGAGCGCATTCGTTACTGCGAGGAGAAGTACGGTATGTCCTCAGCAGAGATGCGCAACCTTGTTTCCACGGGGGACGATCAGTGGGAGACTCTGGAGATACTCAAGTGGATGTCAGCCGATAGCGCATACCGGCACCTGCTTCAGGAGGAGACTCCCACGGCTGGCAAAATTGGGACAACTACCGAGTCACCCACGAGCGGCGTTTAGAGCAACATCCCTTTCTGGATCACACCCGACAGAACACTCTCGACTTCTATCGCGACAATGACACCAATTGGGCATTGAACGGCAGGTTGTTTTGCCGGCAAAGTGTAAATTTACAGGTGGAAAATCTGTTGGAGGCTCGGCAAATCGGAACTCAAGGAATACTCCAGGTCAGATGCTACTCATTCCTCTACGTCGCCTGGATACCTGGCGGACACCTCGTCCTCAAGTACCATAATCATCACGCCAACCCAGACGAATACATACACCGGGTCTATGACCCAACGACCGGTGAGCAGACTCTGTACGAAGTCCTCCACCGCCACCAGTTTCCAGTATTCTCAGAGGTCCTGGACGAGTTGGAGCTGGTAACCAGTCCACTAGCCGCCTGACTACCTATAGCACGGAGAAGCCAATGCCGCACCAGACCGAACCCAGCGCCAACAAAGCTCTCGGCGACCTCCTGCAGGGCATGCTGGGCAAGGCCACCGTGCGTTCGGAAAACACCCAGGTCATCGAAGGCCACGCCGGATTCCACCCCGACGTCCTCATCACCGCAACCGGCCGCTCCCCGGTCGTCATCGAGGCCGAGTACGACCCGGCCCAGAACGTCGAGCCTGAAGCCAGGGACCGCCTCAACCTGAAGGCCACTGGCCAGACCCGCCCCATCGAGGCCGCTCGCCCTGCGCTATCCCGAGGCCGTCGGCGACTCCTTTGACCTTACCAACGCCATCAGTGAAGCCACTCTCCGCTACTGCGTCTTCACCGCCGAGGGTGAAAAGACCACTCGCTTCCCCGAGTCCGGCTGGCTGGACGGCTCAGTAACCGACCTTGCCGACCTCGTTCGCCTCGTGTCCGTGCCCCAGAACGCCGTCGACCAGGCAGCCACCTTCCTCCAGCAGGGCATCGACGACGCCGCCAACATCCTCGAGGACATGCACCAGACCAGTCCCGGCATCACGCTGTCCATTGCCGGGCTGCTGGGAATGGACAACGTCCCCCAGACCCGCCGCATGGCCTGCGCCATCATCGCCAACGCCATGATCTTCCACGACCGCATCGCCGAATGCACGACAATATCGATGCCCTCAACATGGTCTGCGGAGCGGGTGTTCCCGACCCTCAGGGCGCCACGCTGGAAGCTTGGACCGCCATTCTGAAGATCAACTACTGGCCCATCTTCGCCATTGGCCGGGATATCCTCAGCCAGTTGCCGGCTGAATTTGCCGTGCGAACCCTGCGTCGCCTGCGCCTCACCGCCGCCAGCGTCAACGGCACAGGCATGAACAACGCCCACGACCTCACCGGTCGCGTCTTTCCGCGGCTCATTTCAGACCGAAAGTACCTGGCCACCTTCTACACCTTGCCCGCCTCCGCTGCACTGCTCGCTCGCTTGGCGGTAGCAAAGATGGAGGGCGTCGACTGGGGCGACCCCGAGGCCATAGGCAACTGAAAATTGGTGATTTCGCTTGTGGCACCGGCGCCCTGCTGTCGGCGGTCTACGAGCAGATCGCCTCCCGCCACGAGACTGCCGGCGGCGACTCCGCGGCCATCCACTCCGTGATGATGGAGGAGGTGCTCTACGGCTGCGACGTCATGCCTTCCGCCATCCACATCACCGGCTCCACCCTGGCCGGCATCCAGCCCGAAGTTGGTTACGACCGGTCCCGACTCTACACCATGCCCTACGGCCGACAGCAGGACGGAACCGTCAAACTGGGTTCCTTGGAGTTGCTGCAATCAACTCAGGTGATGACCCTTTTCAACACCAGCGATCCGGCCCTCCGCACCGGCAGCGTCGGCGAGGAGACCGCCGCCCACATCAACGTCGAAATCGCCGACGGCAATTTCGACCTCGTAATCATGAACCCACCGTTTACGCGCAACACGACCCGTGAAGGCGCCACAGCAGATGCTGTCGCCGCTGCGTTCGCCGCTACTGAGACGGACCAGAGGGACATGGCAAAGCGGATGGGAGAGTTGAGAATCGGAACTAGTTACCATGGCAACGCTGGAATAGCATCCGCTTTTGCCGGACTCGCGCACAATAAACTCAAACCCGGTGGTACCTTGGCTTTGGTATTGCCTCTATCGGTTGCTGTCGGGCTGGCCTGGCAGAATTTTCGAGAAATGGTTGCAAGAAACTATGCGGACTTGAGCGTGCTCAGCATTGCTGCAAACGGCGACGACATGGCCTTTTCCTCTGATACTGGCATGGCTGAATGCCTGGTCATCGCACGCAAACTTAAGCATGGAGAATCATCAACGGAGAGAGTGCACTTTGCGACATTCGGCAATAGGCCCTCGAATATAGCCATTGCCAATGTGGTAGCAAATAAAATTGTTTTCGGAAAGCAGACTCGAAGAATCGAAGACGGACCATTTGGCGGTACTCGCCTGTCAATCGGAGACGAATTGACAGGCGAAATGATGACTGCTCCCTGTTCTCTCGAAGGAGACTCATGGGCTGGTGTCCGCCTGTTGGACTATTCCCTTGCTCAGACGGCCCACTACTTGAGCCTGTCTAAATTGACATTGCCGGGAGTTCCAAGCGTCAGCAGCTTGACCACCACCTCGTTGGGAAGTCTCAGCAACATTGGGCTCTACCATTTGGACATTGTCGGAGCACCCCCGAGGGGTCCGTTCACCAAAGTGCTGCCCAGTCCAACGTCCACCTATCCAGCCCTATGGAATCATGATGCCAAGATGGAAACTCGACTGGTCTGCATCCCGGATTCTCAACTAGAAGTCAGGCCGGGAATGGAAACCAAGGCGGCTTCCGTCTGGTCTACCGCAAGTCGAACGCACATAAATCAAGATTTCCGGTTTAACTCCCAGCCAGTGGCTGCGGCATTCACTGAGGGCGCGAGCATCGGTGGTCGTGCGTGGCCGAACGTCAAGTTTAGCGGTAATCGGCTAGATTATGCCTTTTCGGTGTGGACCAACAGTTCGCTAGGATTGCTTGCGTATTGGTGGCATTCGAGTTTGCAACAGCCAGGCCGGGGAATCATCACAATTCGCACAGCCGAAACCCTACCCGTCCTGGACCTCCGCACCCTCAGCGACGAGCAACTCGCCACCGCCGAGCGCATATTCGACGAGTTCCGGGAGCTGGACCTGCTACCCGCCTACCTCGCCGACGCCGACCCCAACCGAGCCCTGCTCGACCACAGCGTCATCTGCGACCTCCTCGGCTTCAACGAAGACATCTACCGCGGCGTCCGCCGCCTCGCCCGGAAGTGGTGCGCCGAACCCTCAGTCCACGGCGGCAAGGCCCGCCCCAAGAACGCCAAGTACATCGAGTGAGCCAGCGAGACAGAAAGGGAAAGGGGCGCCGAACGGCGCCCCCCACGAGCCAATCGATCCCAACTGGGAATCAGCCTAGAACCGCCCGCGAAGCCTCGGGTCCAGGTAGTCCCGCAGGCCATCGCCGAAGAGGCTGAACGCCAGCACGATCAACGTGATTGCCACCCCGGGATAAACCACCAGCCACCACGGCGGGATCAGGTTGTTGCCCTGCATAGCCAGCATATTCCCCCAAGTAGGAGTAGGCGGCGGAATCCCAACCCCCAGAAAGCCCAGCGACGCCTCGATGATGATGGCAACACCCAGGTGGGCCGTCGCCAGCACCAGGTACGGCGCAACGCACTGCGGGGCCACGTGTAGGCGCATGATCCTGAAGCTGGAAACCCCCACCGCCCGGGCCGCGGTCACGTAGTCCATCTCCCGTATCTGAAGGGCCACCGCCCGCACGACCCTGCCCCCGAAGGGAATCCTGGTTACCGCAATGGCCACAATCACGGTGCCCAGTCCAGGTCCCAGCGCGACCATCAGCAGCAGGGCCAGGATCAGGTCGGGGAATGCCTGCAGTACCTCGAGCACACGCTGCACCCCAAGGTCAAACTTGCCCCCCAGGTAGGCGCTGGCCACCCCGAGGACCGCGCCAAACGTGGTACCCAGCAGCACCGCCGCAAAGGCCACAATCAGCGTGTACCGCGCCCCGTAGATAATCCGGCTCAACGTGTCCCTTCCCAGTGGGTCTGTGCCCAGGGGATGAGCACTGTCGGGGGAGACTGTCATCGCGGTGAAATCCGCAGTCAAGGGATGATAGGGGGACACAATCGGGGCAGCCGCAGCCATGAGCACCACGAACACCAGGAACACCCCTGCCACCGCCCCGACGGGACTCTGCTTGGTAAAGATCGCTATGGGGCGGAGGTATCTCTGCCAACTCTGTTCTTGAAGGACGGGCAGCGCTTCTCTTTGTTCCAGACTAACCATATCGAATCCTGGGGTCCAGCCAACCGTAGGAGAGGTCGACTAGCACATTCAGCACTATGAATATCAGCCCATAGAACAGAACCAGGTTCTGAATCACGATGTGGTCCCGCGCACGTGAGGGCACGATGAGGACTGCGCCCAGTCCCTTGACTCCGAAGACCGACTCGATTACCACCGACCCGGCCAGTGCGAACCCCAGCAGGATGAGGACAGGGTTGACAGCGGCAGTCAGTAGTATAGGTTGCGGAAGGTGTGCCGGTTCGGATCCACCCCGTGTTGTCACAC